TTCTTGCGGCAAGAAAAGGCATGTTCTCATTGTTTATAATACTAGTAGAATGTTGGAATGTGTTTTAATCTCCTCAAATCTGTAACTCCCCAGCCAAGGAATGCAGACAATCACCATCAGTAGGGCAAATTCAAACACAGCCTTCCCACTATTCCCACTGGGCCCCCGGAAGCCAGTTCCTACAGGACTTCTGAGCTTTTATTCTTAATTAACTCCTTAGCCAGATAGACCAATAAATAAGAAAAAAGACTCCCTAAAAATACACCCTGCCATAGGGCAAAACAAAACAAAAACAAAGTAGGGTACGTGCGATACACTTTAGAAACATAAGGATGACAAGACAAGGAAAAGAGAAACAGGGTTATATGAATCATCTAATCCAATCACAGTGATGGACCTTTTGCACAGATGGAATGGAGCAAAACTTGTAAAACCGTTTGTTATTGATTGAGAGATTCACACACATAAACTGTAGAGAAAAATCTTCCTAAGCTTCTGTCCTGAGGATGTTAATTCTATAATTAATCTCTAGTCCTTGGAGTACCTAAGGGTGGTGTCATGCCCAGAATTGAAAGCTGATGTGGTTTAGCAAACTCACTAACACCAAAGCCTGGCTGGGGTCATCTAAGATGATCCACAGGCCTTACCCTTCAGGCTTCACCCAGAGGGCCCACAATAACAGAGACTGTGCCTGCCAATACAGATGGTGGGACATCACTGCATGCCACTGAGCTATGGGGGAACATGGACTCCAGAACTGAGCAGACCACTTAGGGAAAGGTTTCGATGTTTACACCTGGCCCAGTTTGGGGCTTTTTGATTTCCATCCTCTCCACCCTCAACTCTAAATTGAAATTGGATTGGGCAGGGCTGGTTTTTAGCCTCCTGCTGTGCTTCCTCAGGTCCTTGAAACTGACCAAGTATGAAAAAGCTCTTTATGCTCACTTCAAGCAAGCCACAAAGGGCCTTTCCTAAAATTAAGTGTGTCTTGGAAGTTAAGGGAAGAACACAGGCACTCCTCACAGAAGCAGATGAGTTTTGCAAGGTTTAGGATTTTGATTCACACTGAAGGGCAACCCATTTGCAGATTCATTTGACTGCCACAGATGAAGAGCCATTGAATCCCCGGTTTCTTTTCAAGCCTTGAGAGACTTTTTTCCTTATTCTATGATGTATAAATTCACTCCCCAGGAAGAGGTCTTGATGGCGCCATCCCACAGGGTTATGAATTATTCTAATTGCGGGTGGGGGGACTGCATTACGCCCCTTCCATGTGTTTCCATAATGTCACCTACAATCAGAATGAAGCCTGTGTGAGTAACACTGAAAACAGGATGCCTGTCCTGGTGATGGCCGACTCATCAGACAAACCAAAGGAGTATCTCAGAGGAGGTTACTGGGAGAAAGTGAGAAAAGTACTGTGAAAGGAAAATATCTTGGGCCCCAAATCACTAAGCTAAAAGGAAAAGTCAAGCTGGGAACTGCTTGGGCAAACCTGCCTCCCATTCTATTCAAAGTCTCCCCTCTGCTCACTGAGATAAATGCATATCTGATTGACTCCTTTGGAGAGGCTTATCAGAAACAAAAGAATGCAACCATTTGCCTCTCACCTACCGGTGATGTGGAAGCCCCCTCCCTACTTCGTCTTCCTGCCTTTGCTTCAAGTTGTCCCACCTTTCCAGAGAGAACCAATACTGACTGATGTCTCATGTCTCCCTAAAATGTATAAAACCAAGCCATGTCCCGACAACCTTGGGCATATGTCATCAGGACCTCCTGAGGCTGTGTCACACGTGTGTACCCTCAACCTTGGCAGAATCAACTTTCTACATTAACTGAGACCTGTCTCAGATTTTCTGGCTTTACCGTACCCAAGGACTTACCGCCAAAAGATGTAATATTCTTACAAATGGCCCTGGTCTGTCAATTCTTGGGAACCCCCTGGGGGAAGATTCTGGATTAAAATGGTTAGGTCTTTGTTTGCTTGCTGCTAGTTTTGGGGAGAAAGAGTTTTTCTTTTTTGTTTATTTCTGTCACCTCTTTCACTTGGGAATCTATTTTCACTGCTCTCCAAAGTTTTGAGAAGGTAATAGTTCT